GCTTATTTTCAGGTTAGATCTTATTTTCGGGGAAACCAGGGTAGCAATCCCAATAGGACTTTCAATGTGAGATATTTAAGGAGTGGCTGACCAGTTCCAGCCCTCCCTGTTAAGTGAGGATTCAAATCCACCTTCCTGCCACTGATTCCACTACACCATATTGGAATCATCTGGGGGCTATTCTACGGGGCGGGGTGTGTGTGTGGGGGGAGATAAATTTCCCTATCTCTGTGCATTTCTTATGCTTCTACCACTTGCTGTGCCATCTAAAAGTTGCATTTCATTCCTTAAAAGCTGCATTTCGTTCTCCCATACCACATCCCTCTGGGCAGGGGCTGCTTCCCCTTCTGAACCTTTAAAGAAAAAAGAAAAACGAAGGATCCCTGTCAAACTTTTTAGAATAATGCATCAGCTTTTTAAAGATTCCTTTTCCTCCCATACCAGTGATGTTCTTCTCCTGTTCTTTGTTCAACACATGTGCAAAAAGCAATAAAAGGGAGAATTATCACGCAGCGTCTCAGGAATAGAACGAAAGGCTGTGTAACCCGCCGGTTCACAAAGCCAGCTCCACCGCTTCGCTGCACATGGACTGACTTCAGACAATGGACGAGGAACGCGTTGAAAACTGGAGATCGGCCGCATGAAAGCGACGCTTTATTATTCCTGGCTGCTCGAGATATAGATGGAAAAAAGATTAACGTCAAATCGAGTGACACTCGAGAGGAGCAAAAATCATGGAAGCCAAGAAAAGGAACAAACCAGCTTTGTACCCCAATGAATGCTTCCACTGAGTTTCATCTCTCATTGGTGCTGGAGACATCTGGGAGCCAAGGTCATCCTTACCCTCTGCTTGTAAGGACGGCATTGTTTTCTACAGATAAAAAGTATACCCGAGCATTTTCCTGCTTCCTTTTTTAATCACTTTGAAACTGTTCTACAAGATTGAGCAGGGACAGGCAAAGAGTTTAGCACAAGGCCTGGTTCCAAGTATCCCTTCCGAGTGCATTTCTTTGAATACAGAGGTATTGTCCGGCAAACGAACCTCGCTGCAGGTTTTTTTTTCTTTCAGTGTTACATTTATACATTGTTCATGGCACTTCTTCTGTCCACTTCAGCCCCGAGTAGGCCAGGCTGAAAGAGAAAAGGAACCAGCTCAAGGTCAGCTAGCCAGTGCCGCAGCTCAATGGGGATTCGAATCCGGATCCCAGTTGATCATGCTGAAGGCCGATTGACAAGCACGAGACCAGCAGAGGAGAAGTCGCTGAATTGTAGAACGGTAGAGCTGGAAGGGGCACCCAGAGTGATCCAGCCCAACCCTTGGCTGAAAGAAAAAAAGAGAGACCGGTGGCTAGATTTCCTGCTCTGAATTTCTGTACTGTGAACTTGAACTGGTGAACAGCAGTATTTCTAAATGCAAAGGCCACTGTCGAAGGCGACAGACTGGCCCGGGTTATAAAAGAGACTAAAGGAAATAAAAGTTACCTTGAATGCATAACATTGATCCAAAAGCACGCACTCCCTAACCTGAAGACCCTTACTGTATGTACTACGCCAGTGCTAAGTGGGACGGTGGGTAATGGTTTATCTGGAGCACCGTCCAGGAAGAGGTCAATAGGGTTTAACTCCCAGGTCTTAGAAAGCTGCTCAGTCCCAGTGGCAGGATTTGCCTGCAGTGATCAGCAGGAAAAGGGGGCTGTGAGCAATCTGTGGGGCAGGAAGCAGGGCTAGCTTCACTAGTGCTGTTGGAAAGGAGGTATATTCTCCGGGAGGCAAGCATCATGGTTTTCCAGTTGAGCCTCTTGGAGAAAACCCATCAGATGTAGGGTATATATAGGATATATAGGATGAAGAAAAATATATAGGGTGAAGAACAGAATGGGAGCAGACCACAGCAGACATCACCCCATAGTTCTCTTCCTGCAATTTAATATACAGAAAAAAGACAGTCCTGTGTAAGGTGTGTTTCTAATATGACAGCTTGTGAGGAAACCGAGGAGGGAACCAGGAGCAAGAAAGGTGGTCTTTCGTTCCTTAAAAGCGGCACTTGTTCTCCCACACCACACCGCTCTGGGCAGGGAGCGTTAGGACTTGACATGCGTGTATCTGTCAGTGCTGAAATGCAGTCTCAGTATCCGCAGATTCACATATCCGCAACCTCAATATATTAAAAAAACCCAGAAATATACAGTACAGTGGTGCCTCGCATAGCGAGGTTAATCCGTTCCGGATTAACCTTCGCTATGCTGAAGCATCGCTGAACGGGGCAGCGATTTCCATTGGAACGCATTAAACATCATTTAATGCGTTCCAAATAGGGCAAATACTCACCGTTCAGCGAAGCTTCTTCATGGCCGGCAGCCATTTTCGCGCCCTCGCCTCGCTTAACGAGGGCGCGAAAACGCTGCGCGCGGCCATTTTAGGCCATTTCCCGGCTTCCGGCGGCCATTTTGGCCGCCGAACAGCTGATCGGCGGGGGGCGTTTTGCAAAGATCGGTAAGCGAAACGCTTACCGGTCTTCGCAAAGCGAATTTTTCCCTATAGGAAAAATGTTGTGCGATCGCATTAGCGATCCGAAAAAACGGATCGCTATGCGATTTAATCGTTATACGGTGCGCTCGTTAAGCGAGGCACCACTGTATATTGATATGTATCTCCAGAGTGTATTTACCAGGCCTGGACACTAGAGGGAGAAGAGACCATGCTATGCATAGTGTTCGCTTTTTTCCACGATTTTTGGCATCCGCGGGGTGGAGTGTGTGTGTGTGGGGGCTCGGAACTAATCCCCTGTGGGTCCTATTGTAATAAATTTCTTTCATTATGCCTAAAATAGATCCACCTACCTAATTTTTGCCTGGCCATGGCTCTTAACTGGGTCAGACCCTGGAAAAGTGACTTTTTCAACTAAATTTCCCCAAAGGGTAGCGGATAGAGTGCTGAACTAGAACTCAAGAGACCTGGGTTCAAATCCTCACCTGGCCATGGACACTCCTTGTGAGATGGCACTAGCTCCACCCCCGCCAACCCCTGCTGATGCTGAAAAACCCGGATAATAGCAAACACTATACAAAGCACATGGCATGGTCTCTCTTTTCCTCTAGTGGCTCTATTTGGGTAACTTCAACTTTAGAAGTTACCAATATGCACCATTTTTTAGTTAGCAATTTGGTCTCGAGTTCCTCTGCCTCTTCGGAATCCAGCTTGTACTTCTGGGAGTTCTCGGTCCACATACTGCTGAAGACTGCTGAAGCATCCTCCTGTAATCTAGGTATTCCTGAATCTTGAGCAGCAGCCTTTTCCTCAACTTTAGAAGTTACCAATATGCACCATCTTTTTTTCTAATTTTTTTAAAAAAAATAGTTAACATTTGCACGCCATGGATGAATCAGTGGATGCTGATCCCGCGGATAAGAGCATCCTCCTGTAATCTAAGTACTGTACAGTACTGTATTCCTGAATCGTGAGTATCAGCCTTTTCTTTGTCTCGGCCCCTTTAAGAATGCCCCGCCCTCCGCGGCGTTGCTAAGCAGCGGCTCGGCTCTCTCTTTAACGGATTCAGCCCACCTTTGGGACTTTGATTGACACTTCCCTCCTCTTTCCCCCCCCACCTTTCCCACCATGGAGATGCCTTCTGGGGGTTGCTAGAGCGGCGCCGCGCTCGGCCTTCCAGAAACGGACTCGAGGGATGGGAGGGGAGGGACTGAGAGAGAGAGCGAGAGGAGGGCGCGCCTCGTGCTGGCGGCTTTCGCTTCAGAACCGGACGTTTGAGCCTCGCGCCCGTCTTACGTGCTCGACCTCTAAGGGGGAACCTAAGCGCCGAAGGGACTTTGGCGCCTTGGGGCGCGGAGACGCTCTTTCTTTGGCACCTCTATGGCGATGCTCTCCGTTCCGGCCTCCCTCTATGGCCGGAAGTGGGCGGGCTAAAGCGGCGGCGGTTTGTTGTGTGTGGCGGCCAGCGACGGGTCCCCCCTTCGTCGTCCGGCCAGGCCCGGAGGAAGGAAAGAAGGAAGGCGGGCGGGCGGGAAGCGCGAGAGGCGAGGTGAGGGAAGGGAAGACGGGCGGGAGGGGGAGGGGAG